TGCTGAAGTATGATAATTTTATTACATGTTGAAATGTATCTTTTATTTCACTTGGATAGGAAAAATCCCAGTAGTGTCTTTGCTCTTGTATATTACAAATTTGAAATAAATCATTTTAATGTGTCGTTGTGAAGAAGGCAAGCCTGTTTGTAATATCAAGGTGTTAAAGATTTGCAGCTGAATCAAGACTAGCTCATTGCACTCCGCTTTCTGGAAAAAAGGCGTTAAGAAGGTAATACGCCTTTTTCATTGAAAAATGTGATCTACCTTTGTGAGAATACTTAGTTATATTATAAATAATCTTCTGCAATATAATTAATAAAGCTTCAGAATTTCTTTAATGTTAAAAATGTAAGGGCTTAATTTTCATTTATGCTATGGTGCTTTACACCACTCTGTCATTCCTGGACATGCAAGAGTGTCTGCACTGGACATGAATAAATATCTGCATCTGGCTCAAGACCGTGCTGTCAGAATGGTGTAAATGCCACTATTATAGATGAGGCCTGATCCCTGTATTTGTCCTGGACGAGGGAAAATGGAAAGGCAAACCTCATATTCTAGAGTCTGAGCTGCCTGGCAGCTGCATTCAGGAAGAAGTCATTATTCTGGATCAAGTATAATTTTCCACAATTAAGGGCATTTCAGTTTCAGACTTTCATCGAGCTGAACAACAAAGATTTCAGTTTGCTGAGGCACTGTTTGCAAATTCTTAGTTACTGTTATGCACTTAAAGGTGGTGGGTGGATAGCCACATCCCAAACACGGCGTACTACGGATTCAGGGTATAATTCTGAGCAGCAGAGAGCACAACAAGGTCTACCAGCCTTCCAAATGGGCTTTTGATTGTCGCTGTAACAGAAAAGTTTTTAAATGTTGCACAAGGAATGCATGTATGTATTTTTCACAGAATCTTTTTCAGTTTTTAAATCAATGTAAGAGTGGATTTCAAACGTCAGCTTAATGCAACTTAAACCATGACATTTGTACTCAGAAGTCAGAATGTGTTTGCTTCAGGAGGGAAGAGTTGGTTGGGATCTGAGCAACATAAAAATATTTGATCTTTGCTAAAAGAGGCAGTCACTATCACACCCGCTGCTAATGTATTCCTAGCACGTTCCATGTGTGAAAACCTTAAGCTTTGTATACAAATAACCCTGAGGAAAAACTGATTATTTCCCCCATCACCAAAGATGAGAAGAAATTTTGGGGATTTGGAAAGTTGGTGTTCTAATCAAATTCCTATGTGGCTGTAACAGCTTGGAGGTTTTTTTCCCAGCCCTTTCATGGATGGCAGCTAAGGGAGCTTGAAACATCTGAAGTTCCATGCAATTTGTAGTGGAAAAGTTTAAGTAGTGGGGCTGTCCATACACTATATTTTACCACAGGGTTGCTTAAGGAGCTATTTGCAATAATCGCAAGCCATCCATAGCATTTGCTAGTTTAACAGCTCCCAGCAATCTTAAAGTTTCTCTTAAAACGGTCTTAGCTGTCGCCTTGGCCTGTGCTAGTAAATTAAATTAAATTAAATTAAATTTGCAGTGCAAATTTAGTAAATTTGTAATTAAACACTTCCAAAGAATGTCACTGTGCACTGGAACATGATTACCAATAGTATTAAAATGCTAAAGTGGTCCCTGCTGTATTTTTGGTCTGACACAGCTAGTACTCTCCCAAAGAGTTTGAGTGCAGTTGAGGACACAGCACAGACCAGGGACTGTTACATATGGAGAAGAGACCTTTGCATATGGTGAATGGTCCCAGGAACTGCTAACTGTATGCTACTATACACATAGTTTCTGAAAACGGCACTATCTTGGCTGCGTGTCTACAATATGTACTTAATCTCCAACCTGGCTCTGCAGTCCTGTGAGTATCCATACTACCAATAAGTACTGTCAGACAAAAGACCAGTCAGTAGGAACTTTTGCCTTTGCACCCATTAAGTGGATTGCAGAGAGGTACTTCTCGTCCAGAAACAGAGCATGAGAGTTAACATGCACTGTTCCTCATACAGGATTAGCCTTCTGGCAAGTAAATAGAAGGAAGAAGTAGCATGTGGATGTGCCTAATTACCTATGTCAGAGACAAGTAGCGGATATGTAACTGAAGAAAAGCATATCTGGCTTGGTTATAACAGTGTTTACTGTATACAGTAGTTCATTAACTGTGCGCATGTATGCATAGTTTAATGACTCTATTTCTTAAAATGTCATGAATATATAGAATAAAAACGTGAGAGTGCCTTCATAGTAAATAGGTCAGAAGGGGAGACAGACTGAGCTATTAGCTGCCAGTGTTTCAGCTGAAGTTCATTGTTTTCCCAAGCTCTAGCAAGCACAGAGCGAGATCTGGAAGCAGTTACGTTCTTGTTCTGTCTGGATGCAGGCACTGCTCTCAAGGAATATGCTGCTGCAGATCCAGAAGACACATCCTTAAATGTGAGGTCTTCATCTATAGACCAAAATATTGTAAACCCTTGTTCCATTTTGCTCTTTCTATTTTCATGAATAAATAGTTCCTTTTAAGGTGACTGGTCATCGTATCAATCGCCTATTCAAACTGCCAAGGGAAGATTTGGGTGTCACAGTCAGGCTGCTGGTCAGAAATGGGTTAGTAGGTGAATGAGATGCTCTGAGATCCTGCCCTGGTAACAGGTCAGTTCTGCTGTCTGACACCTCTGAGAGTGCAATCAAAGGTCAGAAAAAGACATCGCTAGCTCAGCAGTTACAGAAAAATGAACCGATAGGATTTAGTAGGCTGTCAAAGCATTGTTTGAACTCTGCTGGTATTTTTACTAGTGAATGAAATAAATTAGCTTTCAGTAGAACTGGCAACACCACTTTCTATTAAATTGTATCTGTCCACCGAAATGTAGGCTGATGCGATTTAATTTATTTAGCGCGTTTTATTTAGAAAATCATCTGTATAATTGCAGTCCTTAAAATGCAGATGCTAATTTGGCTGTAATTTGCATGTGATTGGGGTCAGTGTGTTTACTGTAGACAGCTTCATCTGTGATTATTTCTGTTGGTTGTTACACTGCTGTCCTTTGAATTTGAGAGCCACTTAAACGCGTTATCCTGATTGTGTATATCCCATTGGACAGTAGTTTATCTGTTATGCTCCCACAAAATTGTTCTTTCTTAAATATATATGTATGTGTGTATATATAATATATGTATGTATAAAAATATATTGCAACATCTGTCATGACTTATATGAAGCCTAATCATTAACAGCTATGTTGCCCATAAATGATTTGCAGCAGTCCTAGTGGTGAAATTGAGACTGACAGTATAGCTTGAAGACTCTTGTGAATGAGGTTGCAAAGAGAAAGATACTTGGCATTTGAGAGAATTTGTTGATAGAGAAAGCACATCAATCAGAGCAGAACATCCGTGATACAGCCGGTCACGGCATCAGAGTGCCGAAACACAGGTCTCTAACAGTATGGTAAGTGGGGAGGCAGAAAAGGAGAGGTGAAAAAACAGCACAGCAGTACTCACATTGGCAACTAGAGGACCTTTTAATTTCCTAACTCGACCATTTCCCTTTGTGAGCTTTTCTGCTAGATCTATGTATTTTTAGGCAAGGAGATATTGTAGGTTTCCCAACAACTACACATTAATCCAGGCAAAATAATGTGAGTACTGAGCTGAAAGTTTTATTGATTACCATTACATGACACTTCTGGCAGCTTTGTTAGGAGACAAGTCTTAAGTAGCCCCGATTCCTGAACTGCTGCTTTGGGTTTCAGCATAAAAGAGCACTGAGAAAATTGACCTTTAAGGATCAAGGTTAAGACGTAGCCAAGAGGCGTAATGGGGGTGCCTGATTTACTGTTCTCTATTGTGTAAGGTTCAGTCTAGCACTTCAGGAAAAAAAAGTGGACTTCATTTTAAGCTATAAAATTGAATACATATTTAAGATTGTTTAGCATGCATAATTTTAGACTGAGTTGTTTTGTCTGTAGTACCCCTCAAAACTGATGCATCATGTCTTGGTTTTTATGTAGGTACATTCATTAAAACTTGCACTTGAAGGCGTGGAGAAGGAAAGGGATTTCTACTTTGGCAAATTAAGGGAGATTGAACTTCTCTGCCAAGAACATGGGGGAGAGAATAATGACCTTGTCAATCGGCTAATGGAAGTCCTTTATGCTTCAGAAGAACATGTAAGTTCAAGCTTAATGTCTTTTATTTAGACAAAACAGCTTAATTTCATAAAAAATTTATTGGCACAGTATTGGGTCATGTCCTATATTTCGGTCAGCAGAAGTGTAGCAGCTAGGATTTCCATGCCTCCTCCCCCAAAAAGGAAGTTTGCATTTGCAAACAACAGACTTTTCAGCTTGGGGAAGGGATTCAGGAGGCTGGTTGCTTTTTGCTGCTTCAGTGTAGGTTTTGTATTCTAGGTTTGCTGAAGTTGATCTGAAAGGGGAGGGGGTGTGTCACAACTTGAAATTGATTTCATATGGTTCTGAGCCTTAGTTTTGTTTTTTTTGTTTTCTGCATAAAGCCTTTTACTTATGTTCTTTAACGTGTTGAAAATCACAGAAATGCTGAAAGAGGTGCTGTTCAATGTCTACAGCTGTGAAGCTTCTCTAGCCCATGTGGCAGTGTTGTAATATGTATGGTGCAGGTTGCCAAATGCATAATTATATCTGCAGAGATAATGCTCTTTAGCATTTTTTTTATCCTGTTGCTATAGGCAAAATTCTTCCTTGTGCAAACCCAATAACCCTCTATTACCAAAATTTCAGAAATGTATTGTCTGCAAGATTAAGCAAGAATCTCACTGCATCTTAGTCTTAGTGCTGTAGACACTGAACAAAGCAAGAAGCTGCAAAGGGTGCTGGTTAAATTCCTCGGATACATTCAGGGATAATGATTCGGTGGAGATTTAGCTGAACTACTCCCATACATGTTAACTACATCCCTGTATGCGCTGTCCTGACGATTGACCCTTCAGTCTCCAGCAGACGATGGCTTTGGCTCCAGAGTGTATAAGCATCAACTTAATCTCTCTGCAGCACTGTGGTACTGTCGGCTGTCTTATAGCTGTTCCCAGAAAGCTGTTGCAGCAGCTTTTTTATCAAAAATAGTGTCGAAGCAACTACTAACTCACATGCTTTTCTAAAAAAGACTAGTAGAGCATGAATGAAAGGTGCAAGAGGGACATGAGCTTGCTGCTGACAGGGCCACTGCTCAGATGAGAAGCGACAGGGGAGAGAGGATTTGTTCCATGGTGTGGGGCAAGTGCTAGAGAGGAAAAAGGAGGAGGAAACCATTATTTTCACAGGAATAAATAATAAGACAAATTTGCCAGGCACGTGATAACAGGGTAAAAGAATTACATATATATAGCGGTCAGAGCAAATGTCTTCTGGATTCATGAACAGTGATTTATTTATAAAGCAAAGCCAGAAAAATCCCTCTTCTCCCCATACCCCTACCACATCTGTCTGTCTGTTGGCTTAAATAGCAAGTGATTCCCAGCCAAGGAATGCATTTGCTGCTTTTCTTCCTGCAGTTTTCCTTACTGGCAGAACACATTACAAAATGTTCTACTTCAGCCCACATCCCAGTGTTTTATCTGCTTCCTCCTTCCAAACCTTTCTCTGTTGAAAGCATCATCTGTGCCTGCGCATGAACTACATGCGATGACCGTGCCTTTATCAAAAATGTGTTTTTGCAGTAGGAGGCCAGGTATGTAACTTCAGCAGGAGAGCTCTGCTCCCCCAGAGAAGAATACAGAGGCCGTTCCCCTTGCAATTTTTTGTACCTTTTCATGGGAGACTTGATCTCCTCATCTTCCAGGGTGCGTTTCCTCCTTAGCTTAGCAGACAGACTGTAATTTGCTGAGGAAGGACCCCAAGGCATTAGCACTAAACCAGAGACTGTGGTTCCCTTGCTGATGCGGATCCTGCCTACTTTTTGTTTTCAGACTTTGCTGCTTCATTGCCAAGCTTTGCTCTTCAGTTCTGTTTTTTCTCTCTCTGTAACGAATTTGTCCCAGACTAAATTCTGTATCTCGCAGCATTTTGCAGGGTAATCCCTCAGTAACAGCAATTTGGCTTTCCCAGTCCCCAGATGGGAAATAGCCCCAATTCACAAATCACAGGAAACTCCAGCATTCCTACTTTCTTGCTAATGAGTTCATTGTAAATCTAGCTTAGGTTTTGTTTTTTTTTAATAATCTCTGTTTCAGACTGTCTCAAGTATATAGAGGCAAAGTGGAAAAAAAGGATTACATTAATTTTCAGGATTTGTGACATTTATAAATGATACTCTGGCCATGAGGCTTTTCTTCAGGAAGAGGATGTGCAGTAATGCAGCTCACACATGCTGCACAAGTGATCCCTGACCAAAGCCTTGTGCTTGAATATCGTGACTTACATTTGTTTTCAGTTCATACTTCCAATAACTGTTTGATAGCAATCTTAACCTCTTCCTTCCTAGCTGTAATTTGACAGGCATTCAGTATTCAAATGCTACTGTATTCGACATGGTATAGAGATTATGTCCTATTTTTCATATTTCACATCTCAACTGTTCTTATTCAGAAGGGACAAGTCTACCTTTATACCTAATTTCCTGTTATGCTTAATTTAATCCTCCTAAAAGAAGAAAACAAGACAAAAAATCTGGACAGCACTTTAAGTGGTCACGTCTCCCTGTAGGTTCCTAGGTCCCCCATGAGCATCATAGGCTGTCAGGTGAATTCTGTATAGAACGATTCAGAATGCAAGTATAGAGTTTAGTCCCTATAAAAAACATTCTCCAGAGGTTTGATTATTGTAGTATTGCATTGAAGAGATTTTTATCAGGTTCTTATCATGGGGGGTGGGGGGGTGGGGGTGGTGAAGACAAAAAAAAAAACACCAACACAACCCTTGGGCAGCAGGTTGTTAATTTTTTTTTTTTTTTTTCAGAATTCCAAGTCACAGTGTAGTTTCAGCCATGTCACTTCATAAGCTTCTGTTTTGTTTAATTTAATAAAGGCTAAATTTTTAAGACTGATTTTTTTTTAATTTTTTTTTTTTTGGTGTTGATTTTGGTGAGTTTTTGAGTCTTACAGCACAAATATCAATCCATTTGAGTTCCTTGTTTTTAAAGGCTTCCTTTTCCCTGTTATGATTCTGTTTTAAACCTCACCATTATGGTTCTGCTTATGCAAGAGGGACGTTGTATCTGCTATTGTCATTTAATATTTGGCTGATCAGTCTGTAATCCTTTGTAATTTTTAATTACAAATTGCTCATTTGTAATCCCACTTCTTCATCAAAAACATCAAAGTTGACAGAGAACAGTTTTAAAAAAGGATACACATGGGTGGTGGGGAGAAGCAGCCCCTGGCACTCATGTTATAGTATGTAAAGCATTTGGTGATATATGGTCTTACAGTAGGAGAGCTTCAGACTGTTGAACCAGAAGAGGCTGTGTGTCTAGTTATGAAACCCAGAGCCATGTAGGTCTTTGCATAAAGCAAAACGGTAGGAAAGCTTTTGCTTAGGCTGTTCTGGTTCAGTTCGTGCAGAAGTTGGGTGGATTGCTGCTGTTTGATCTATCAGTTGCTCAGCTCAAGTTTCCAAAGCAATTGCTCAAAGTGCAGTTGGCTTTGTATCTTTCTGCTCTAGCAGCTACTACATCTGCTGCTGCTTTTGGAAAAGGCACCCACCCCCCCCCTCCCCAGCAGCTGGTTTTCATAAGGTCTAGCTCTTCAGTCTACAGGCACACCTGAATAGTTTGAGGCAGATGGATTGAAGGGTCAAAAGAGAGCACCTCTCATTGTGAGAGACAGAGATGACCATGGTTGTGTGATCCAAGCCAGAAATAAATGCTCTAAATAGATCTTCCACTACTTTCCTTATTAGGGGATGCTATTCAAGGAGATTCCCCAGTCCCAAGGTAATTTGGCATAGTGACTCTTGTCTTTCCCATTTGGTGTATTTATACAAGCTGTACATACTGAGAAGCGCGTGTCCAAGTCTCAGAACAACTTCTGAGGTAGTCACGTAGGATTTACCCTTTCCATCAAAGGTAAGCCTGGCAAGAGAGGAGCCACCACTCTTCAGAGCTGCAGAGTAGGTTCCCAAGCCACTCCTTGTGCTTAGAGGCTTTTCCTATTATATGCGTGAAAGGATAGCATGTACGTGACCTATAAAATTGCATGAGTGGACCTTCTAATAGGTGTGTCTCATAAACTCCGCATACACAGAGCCTATGGAACAGGTGCATTCCAGAGCAGGTCACCCCAACACATAAGGAGGGTCAGGATAGATGGGGTTAAGGGAACATAGCTCACAGCAGCTAAACGAGCTTCAGTTTTCGCACCCTGTAAGGCAGGGTCACGTTCTCACAGCTGTCAGCTTCTCCCTGTGAAACTCCTGTTCTCTGCAGGTCTTGCACCTTTGCAGCCCATCACAGAAGTTGCGATTTTTAGATGCTGCGCAAAAAGCTGTTTTGACGTGGTGTACCTGCTGTATGTAATAAGGGCATCGATCCCCCCAAGGGGCCTTGAGGTGCTAAACTGCAGTTGTTCTGACTGACACATGTGGCTTCTACCTGAAAATAACACCTGAGTGATAGAAAGCTTGCTGTTGATTGGCATTTGGCTGTTTCTGCATGTGCTAAACAGCCGAATATTTCCTTTGCAAATGTTAGGAATGTTATCAGCAAATGTTAGGAACCTTATTCTCCTGTTCCTGCCCTTTAGAAATACGAAGATTTTATTGCCAGAAGGGAAATATTTTCTTACTGCATAAGCTGCTCTGAACTATTCTGGGAAAACTCAAATTATGGCCTCCCTTTTTCTTTTAATTTTTGCCTCAAATTTGAAAAGTTAGCAGTATCAATTTGTTAAAGCTTGTTGTTAAGCTGCTCGCTTCTAACAAAAATTGCCAGGAGCCAGGTGAGTTCTGCAGAGGTACCACATCAGGGATGCTGCGTTTTGAATGGCAGCTCAATCTCTTGGAAAAGTGTTTTCTTTTGGAGCTGCCTACAGCGGAGTGCTACTAATGCAGGGCAGAGAGTAGATGTGTCGGATCTTTTCAGTGAACTGTGCTCCGGAAAGATGGAAGCCACTTGAGAGAAAAGCTGTAAATGCAGCTGCGCTTAGTGGGAATGCAGAAGTAATGCCCTGAGAGTCAGCCAGACTTTTTGAGCTCCGATACATCAGGCCAACTCAAGATAGCAGGTCTGTTGTCTCGAAATTGGAAATTGTTTAAAACTGGTGTCACCAGCAGCGAGGATCCAGCCTTCCTTTTGGTCAGGGATTCTTCTCGCAATGGCAATGTATGTTCAGAGAGACAGCTCTGGAAAATACTGTGCATAATAACCATTTGCAAAAGGGAAGCCTTCATTAGTAATTAGTGCTTTTAAAAGTAGCTCTGTAACTCAGTGAATACTGGGTTCAATTTTTTTCCCCCCTCCCCCAAAGAAAATGTGTTTGCAAGTCTTGGGTTATATTTTCCGGATACCATGAAAAATTACTGTGTTGGTAACCTTTTGAACTCTGGTCTAGCATCGGTATATTATTTTGGGATAGTAGTATATCTAACCTCAAAAAGGAGGCTGAGTTTAATTTTTAAAGCAGGCGATAGCAAAAGTGTCTTGACCATTTAGTGATCTAAACCTAGAGTGAAGATTGTGTGAAAACTATAGCAGACAGGTTCAGAAATTCTTGGGCAAACTGAAAATGGGGGAGGACATCAAGATGCTATGATACAGCATCTAACTGTTGAGCATCCTCACTGTCCAGCTATTCAAAATGTTTGCTTACTCTTGCATCGCTCTGTGATGTTGAAAACTGACACTTTTGCTGGACAGGTATCAGTACTGCACACGCATTGATTAAAAGCAAAGTAAATACATTTCGTTGTAATATTACAAGATGCTGTTTTTCTTAGGCTGCAGCTCATTTTGTACTTATGTGCTGCATGAAAATATGAAGTTAAGCTTCAGGCTACGGCAAGCACTGTGGGGCAGCAAGATTACATGGGAAATGCTTTCTGCTGAAGAATGTTTTGTGGTCTTTTTCTCCCTGCAGGAGAGCCACACAGAAGAGCATGAAGGTGAAGAGCAAGTCCATGAACAGCCCCAGCAGCAGGAGGAGTACTGACTCACCCAGCGTCTCTGACAATTTTCGTTTTGTGTGAGAACTTTCTTCTGGAGAACGGAACATGTGTGGCCTCAAACTTGAAATCAGTTCACTCCCAGTCTGCCATTAACATTTCTGTACCATAGTGAGTGCCAGCCAACCACTGCATTCTGTACCCATACTTTGCCAAGACGCATTTGCAGACGTCTTCTTTCAGTGTATCTTCCCAAGAGGTTGTAGGGCTACATCACCTACTGTACATCACTGCAACTTCACCACTTGGCTGCTTGAGATTTGTTCTGCTCTTTAAAAAAAAAAAATATATATTTATTTTTTTTCTTTTTCGTCTTAAGTATGATACACTTGTAACTTGTTCTAACATATTTATATTGGCATTTTGTGTGGCAAGAAGTACCGTACCACTAGCTGTGTCTCTCACTTTGTGGTGCTTTCGCGTTTTCTAGTACATCTGCCTTGGGGCATAAATTTGGTCGAACAGTTGGAATAAAGGGATACAGTGGAAGTCATACTCAAGCCATAGCGATGAGGTGTGTTGTGGAGGAAAATGCTCGTGTTGCTCACATTTATTCCTTTCCTGCCTTAACAAAATGGAAGGCAGAGCATCTGTTTCACTAGGAGATTTAAACCCCTGTGTTAGAAAGCGTGTTAGAAAGCTGCATGGTATGTTTTTTGGCTTATTTCTGGAGGAACAGATATCCACTTAAGTTTTTTTGAAAACATGCCCAGTTTCCTGACTAGTCAGTAGACATTTCCCAGCTTTTCTTCCTTCCTGAGGAATCCAGTCCCAGCCTCCAGCTTCAGCTCTGCCTCCGCAGAGCTCAGTGCTAATGGAGGAGAGAAATCTCCTTGACACAAGTGTGGCTGCAGGATCCGATCTCTGCCATCATATTTGGCTTCCCACCCCTCAGAAGAGGACAAATTAGGCCAGCCATTTCTTTTCGCTATCCTTCCCCACTCTGCTGCCCTGGCCATACAAGTACGGAAGACAAAATTTCCTCACTGGTGCCAAGGCATGGGGGAAAAAACAGCAACAGCACTAGCCCTGAACCCCCCCAAACTCCCTTTAAGTGGGTGGTGGACACCTCGCAGGTGTTGAGGCTGCTTCCGAAGCAGGGAGAGGCAGTGAGGAGTCCTTCTGGAGACAGAGCACACATCAGAGGGGGACCAGCTGACTGAGGGGCACAGCCCCGGTTCTGCGCTTGGCTTACCTTCCTCCGGCGAGGCCGGCACGGTGCAGAACCACGTCTGCCCTGGAGATGTCTGCAGTAAGAGTGTTCCGTGCCAGTGCGGTCCCATCGCCTTGTTCTAAATGACGGTATTTTATAAACAGAAGTATCTTGAAGCATACAAAGCATTCCTTATTTTTCTCATAAAACTGCGCATTGTGGTCTCTGAATATTTAATGTTTGGTATTCTTGGTCTCTCAATTTTCTTAATTCGCTGATTTAGCAGGTACATGGAAGTCCCATCCCAGTGGGCAGTCACTGAAAAACTCCAAAGCCTATTGAACAGCTAAATCATCTTAGACCTTCATGTGCTCCTAAAGCATAAGTTCCCAGCTTATGCTTCCACAGAAAGGTTTTCAATTAATCAACCCCCAGCGCACATACACATGCACGTGCAGTTTTCGGTTCCTAATCAATCTTCTGCAGCTAAGTGGCTCTTAGTTAAATGTGAGATCCCTGCTGTTGCGTTGCACCACAGACAATGTATAAAATACTGTTAAGCATTAGAACAGGTATTTCCAGTTCCTTGATTGCTCCCCCTGCTCAGCAGAAGAGTTTTTGGACCCTGCGGGCTGAAGGTTTCCCAGCCCTGCCTCCAGCACTGACCTCACGTTCTACCTGGTGATGAACTGAAAGTACTGCAACCTGCAGGCCAGCGCTTTCCTTTCCCGTTCTGATTGGTTACAAATAAGGTCTGGTTTATAAAAATGTGTATATTCCAAAAGAAGGATTTCCAAGAATCACCACAAATGGAGGAATTGTCATTTTTGTTGTATTTGTGTTTATTAGAACATATGTACTTATTACAATTGTCATTGTAATAAACAGTAGTTCTTCATAATACTGTTGAACTGAAGAGCAGTTACTAATTTTTTTTTCCGGTCTCCAGAATGTCCTTTAATCTGTATGGGATTTCCAATGGGGCAAGGAGTTTGGGATCAGGCTATAAACTTAATTTCATCAGCGCCAGTCTCTGCTTACTGCAGTTCATCCTTCTGCTATTACTCGAGCAGATGCATGGAGAGCACTTCAAGAGAAAATGTTTTTCTAAAGGTGCAAATGGTTGGGTTGCTGAGCTCCCCAGAGGGTTCATAGCCAGGCTGTTGTGCCTCTCTCCTTTTCTCTCTTTGAAGCACATTTAAAAAAAAAAAAAAAATTAAAAAAGCTGAACTTCATTTCCTGAAAATTCCTTATAGCCTATTTCTGGTCTGAGGACCATAGCCCTCTCACTGCTTGTACCAAGGGGGATGCAGGGATGCAGGGAGCCGGGACAGTGAAGTACCTCGTGGGCACTAGAAATTTGGCTGTGCTGAGGGGAGGGCGATGCTCTGAAAGGGGAA